GACTTGGAGCAGGCCATGAAGGCGTACTGCGAGCGCCATATTGTGGTCGAGACCGTGCCACGCACCGTGCGCCTCCCCAAGCTCTTTAGCGTTTACCTCGAGGACTTTGGCTCGTCCGAGTCGGAGATGCTCGGGTGGCTCACGCAGTACATGAAGGAGTGCCCGCCCGACATCATGCTGTACCGGATAAAGTACCAGCACGGGATCCTCGTCTAGTCGTCTATCTACTACTAATACTGTCGTCTGTATCTCCACAGTTGGATTGTCTGGCGCGTTGTAGACATACAGATATATATATATACGCGAGGGCGATTACAGAATGGTACAGAACGACTTCTTCTCTTTGGTCGGGCTCGGCTTCTTCGTCGTCGGCGCCTTCTTCGGCGCGTCCATGGTGCGGATCTCGCGCACGACTTGGAAGAAGCAGTCTTCGTTCTGGATGCGCTCCTTCGCCGACGTCTCCATGAGGGGGCAGCCCCACTCGCGCGCGAGCGCTTGGCCTTCGGCAAAGCTCACGTCGCGGTTGCGCTCGAGGTCGCACTTGTTGCCGACGAGCACCATCGAGACGCGGTTCGTGTCCTTGGCGCGCAGGATCTTGTCCTTGAACGTCTTGATCTCGTCAAACGTCGTCCGGCTCGTGATGCTGTACACGAGCAGGAAGCCCTTGCCTTCGCGCATCCACTGGTCTTGCATCGTCGTGTACTCTTCCTGCCCCGCCGTGTCGAGGATGTCGAGGAGCGCCTGCTTCTGGTCGATCACGACCTGCTTGCGGTAGCTGTCCTCTACAGACCATGCGTCAACCTCCGTGCATCGGGCCCATCTTCACGTACCGATCGTAGGGTCGTAGTCCTCGAGGAAGTTGTCGGTGACGAGGCGGATGACCAGCGCGGACTTGCCGACGCCGCCGCTGCCGAGCACTACGAGCTTGTATTCGCGCGAGTCGGCCGACTGCATCTCTTCTTCTTCTGAGCGAACGGGCAAGTCAGTCGAAAAACCTCTCAGACTGCATACGTCAACGATCAGACCGGCACCAACGCCAGTGCGCACCAGCTGGCGTGGGTGGATAGACCTCTACGTTCTTATAACCTTGAACATCGCGTCCACCGAGTCTCATCGGCGCCTCGAAACGACCAAACGAGGAGCATGTCCATTTGCATCGGTACGTCAGCGTGTCGCCGTCGATGGCCATTCGACACTGGTTGCAGGGGACGCTATATTTGCCGCTCGATTCGCTGCTCGATTCGACGTGGTACCAGTACGGCGCGCGACAGTTGGACGCGAGTGCCTGCTGCACAAACAAGGCAGTGTCTATGGGGCATAGACACACACACAAGTTGGTTGCATGTCGTAGTGCAGCGTCTCGCCTCGTGGCGCGTTCAAGCGCGAGACGAGGCTCCAGCAGCCAATTCATGAGAGCATTTGTTGTTAGAAGCGTAATGTCCTGTGCATGAGATGGTGGGCCACCTCGTTCGAATGCACCAATCTTGTGTGCTCGTTGTTTTCCGCCGATGGACGGCGACCGCGCAGACAACGTACAAGTGGTCGAGGCACTCGCCATCGAAGCATAATCTGTGTGCTACCGGTCGGCGCTTGACGTCGAGTCGTCGCCATTGGAGGGGCGTCACGTCGCATGAGGGTCTGAGACGTGGACACGCCACGCTTGGACGATGCGGAAGCGAGAGCCAGTGCACTTGCACCGATCTATGGCTCGTGCTCATGCGCAGCGCCCTCTAGTAGCTGGGACGTTTCCTCTTCGGGGCGCAAACGATCTTTGACCGATTCTGAAGCGGCCTCGGATTGGTCCGCCTCCATGATTGGCTCATATGTGGTGCCAAGCGTCGTGGCCATGCCACGTGGATGCTCATGGCTTCGATCTTCGATGTGTATCTTCGTTTTTGCCTTCGACAATCGAAGCCACCACAAAGATCGCTAGCCGCTCGCATGGACAGCACGAGCGACGAGGACCGGGACGAAGTGAGCGCGCTCGTGCACCCAACGATAGCCGTACGACTACATTGGTTCGTCATCGACTCATGCGTACGTAGGCCAAGCGAAGCCATCGGCGGGTCAAGTCCATCGGCGTCGGTGGACGGTTCGAGCTCGCCAAGATCTCGACCGACCAAAAGGTACGCCCCAGTCTTTCTGGTTCTTGACGATAGCATGAGCCGAGGTGGAAATCCTCGAGACGGAGCTCCAGCGCCAGTCCAAGGCGCTCGAGGAAGCCCAAGAGGAGACGCAGCTCGCGGCGCGCATTGGTCAGTCGCTCTTGCTTCAAAACCAAAAGCTCGACTACGAATGGGAGTCCAAGCTCGCTTCCGTACGCGACGCCTCCATTACGTCGTACTCGATTGACAATCTCCTCGCAGATGACCAAGCAGCACAGCGACGACACGGCGCGGCTGCAGGTACGCACGCGCGCTCGCCTCGACACGCGACCCAAGCGCGCTTAGGTGCTCGAGCGCGACCTGGCAACGCTGCAGCACGACTACAATGCGCT